TGTAGAAGATTTTCCAAGATTTGAGTTCTAACATCGTGTACTTTCTACTGTGTAATATGGATCGATACTTCAATCTCGATGTACTTTGTTCAGTGAACATCTCTAAGTACTTTCTATATGTACTTTCTTTAACTTGTGTGTCCACTAAGATCATCAAATTTTCCAATGCAATGAACGAGTGTTTAACAGTCGAAATACAGGTTCAATCTCTTCATTACGATGTTTTCATTGTTATCACGTACAACTTCAACATTAAAATCATCAACATTCTATTTGAAGGTTTTTCACTGTCCAATACCATATAAGAAGTCTACCGTTAAGTAAAATATCAACAACTATGTCCCAGGACATATTAAATCTACCACTATATGTTAAAAAGTCAACTATGTACAGAGACATAATAAGTCTACCAGTATTGATCAACCAATGAGGTTAGTCTAGTAATTATGGAAAGATATTACTCTACCGCTACATAACCGCAATAAATCTCTCTCTCTCTCTCTCTCTCTCTCTCTCTCTCTCTCTCTCTCTCTCTTTCTCTCTCTCTCTCTCTCTTTTCTCTTCTTCTCTCCGGCCAGATCTGGTTTTTCTTTAACTTTCTATATGTACTTTCTTTAACTTGTGTGTCCACTAAGATCATCAAATTTTCCAATGCAATGAACGAGTGTTTAACATTCGAAATACAGGTTCAATCTCTTCATTACGATGTTTTCATTGTTATCACGTACAACTTCAACATTAAAATCATCAACATTCTATTTGAAGGTTTTTCACTGTCCAATACCATATAAGAAGTCTACCGTTAAGTAAAATATCAACAACTATGTCCCATGACATATTAAATCTACCACTATATGTTAAAAAGTCAACTATGTACAGAGACATAATAAGTCTACCAGTATTGATCAACCAATGAGGTTAGTCTAGTAATTATGGAAAGATATTACTCTACCGCTACATAACCGCAATAAATTTCTCTCTCTCTCTCTCTCTCTCTCTCTCTCTCTCTCTCTCTCTCTCTCTCTTTTCTCTTCTTCTCTCCGGCCAGATCTGGTTTTTCCGACCAGATCTGGTTTTTCCGATCATCTTTTTTATTTCTCTCTTCTTTCTCTTCCTCTCTCTCCTTTTCCATTCTCTCTTCCGCCAAATCTGTTTTTCTTACTCATTTGTTTTCTTTCTCTTCTCTTTCTATCTCTTTTTTCTTCTCTCCGGCCAGATCTGCGGCGGTTGATCCATGGCCGTTGGTGTCTTTTCGGTGTAGAGTTTGTCTCCGGATCGGCTCTTTCATCTTCTCTTATGTTTGGTTGCTTTTTCTCCAAATATAAATAAGTCTACCGTCAAACGACTCGCCTACGTGGCAACTGAAAAGTAATGGCACAATCGTAAATACCGTTTTTATCATCAAAGGCTTAAAAGGCATAATCGGTACACTAGGTTAGTTCAGTAATAAAAAAAAATTTCAGCTGATCTAGCTCAAACTCCTTTTTAAAAGAGTATTCTAGTAATCCTCCCTATAATTAAACAGAAAATCAGTTCAACCTAAAGGCTAAAGCCACCCCATTTGCAAGAGAGAAAAACATTGGAGAAATCTAAATGTAAAGAATGGAAAAAAACTCAAAAACCCAACTGCAACTTTTTATTGATTTTGATTTAGAATAACCAAGTCACATTTTTCGCATACGAGAATACATTTAACAGAATTAAGATTCAGATCAATCCAGAGAATACATACACGAACCAGACATAACAAAAAAAAATCGCACAAGTTCAGAATTTTTGCAGCCTAACATCAGAGAAAACTCAATCGACAAAGATACTCAAAAACACAAAACACATCTGCAATTTTTCCCTTAGAAACTCATCAAACAACAGACGACCAAAGAGAGAGACAGGTACATGAGATAGACTAGAGAGAGGAGAGAGATGAGAGAGAGGAGTAGGTTTGCTTGGTGTGAAGTGACATGTAAAAAGAGGAATCAATGGCTGGAATGGCCCTCTGGCTTGAACCTTGAAACGAGATCACAAATGAGTAGGTTATTTATTAAATATTTAATTTAAATCAAAAATAGTTGATTAAGTTAGATTATTACATACCCAACCAGCAAATTATCCACACATATCCAATTCAAAGATCTAATTCGCTGACTCATTTGTTCTAATTAATCGACCCAATCAAACTAAAACCTAAATTGAAAAGATCTGAAAGATCAAACAGATTCAAACATATATTTTTTTTTCTAAATTTCAAAAAATCTGAAACGAAAAAATAATATTTGATAGCACTTGGTAACACCTGGAAATGAAAAAATAATCTCTAGCTTATTTAAGTACTATTTTGAACTTGACTTTGTTTGTAAACCTTATGTTTATGTTTGTTTAAAGCATATTTAAAATTCATAAATCAAATAAAACTCTATTCAATATTTTCTCTGTTGTAATGTACTGAATGATTATATAGATTTCGTCAGTACTGTCACATAATGGTCTGAATCACTACTTCGCCCCTGCTAAAACAACGGCTTTTAATCTCATATTCTCCATTTTGCCAATCATTGTAGCATGTATTAGATATCGAAGAGGCGGTTTCACTGTTATTTAGTCGGAATCATATATTGTCTATCTTCTAGTTGTACCAATTATCTTCAAGTATTACCAAATGCAGTTGTACCAAGTATTTCCAAGTATTACTAAACGTAATAACTCAGAAAATCAGAAATGTAAATTCGAAATCAGGAACAAACAACAAACCCGATATCCATAGACAAACCTGCAATCAAATACTAAATCTGAAATAAATTAACATGAATTTCGAGTTAAATTGAAGTTTGGAAATTCTTTAGAAATCTATGTAATGGAGATGGAAGAGGATAGGAAAAAAAATATATAGAACCCTAAAATGAAAAATTGGGGAGAAAACCCCAGAAAATCAGAAATGCAAATTTTCCGAAATTACAAATGAGGAACGAACAACTAATGTGAAATCTATAGACAAACCTGAAATCAAATACTAAATATAAAATTAATATAAATTTCGAGTTAAGTTGAAGCTTCGAAACTCTTCAAAAATCTATGTAATGGAGATGAAAGAGGATAGAGAAAAGATATAGAAACCCTAATAATAACAATTTGGAGGAAAAAACTAGAAAATCAGAAATGTTTAAATTCAGAAATTCAAATTTTGTGACGAATACCAAACTTGAAATCTATAGACAAAATGAAATCAAGTACTAAATCTAAAATAAGCATGAAATTCAAGTTACATTAAAGCTTGGAAACTCTATAAATATCGCTGCAATAGAGGTGTAAGAGAAGAGATGAAAATATGTAAGAACACTAAAATAAATATTTGAGAAAAAATGGTAAAAAAAAAAATTAATTGAAAATACATTGAAAATAAATTGAAAATATTTGAGAAAAAATGATTTTTTGTGATGTTATGTAATTTTCATTATTTGATAGATATTTAAGTTATAGTTTTTGAAAGAAATTGTTAATAATAAAATAAGTAGAATTTATTTGTAAATTTTAAAACTAAAAAGTATTTATAATAAAATCGAATAAGAATCTATTTAAAATATTCCTTTTTAGAGTAGAGAATAGAAAAATACATTGGAGCAAAACACAACTTCATTTTGAAGTTACTCTATTTTAAAGTAAAAAATGAAGAAATATCTTGAAAATGGTCTAATAATCTGATAATAGGCGATCCAGGCATCCAGCTACTCCTGACATTTTTAATATCATTTGTAATTCCTAAATATTTATTTATAGTTTTCCAATTTATAAAATATTCTTTTGTCGGAAAAGCAAAATAAATTCATGATCCCGATTTGACGAGTCGATCTGGATCGCGGATTGCAGTTTTTGGTTGGGAGTTAAATTAATAAATTCAGTAGTGATTAATGTTAAATAAATAAACCAGAAGAACCAAACTTTTTTCCCCCTCGCCGAAGAAGTTTCCCTCTCTCCGTCGACAAATCTACGAGCGAGCTTCAGCAGAAGAAAAAAAGAGACAGAGAGAGATGGGTTTCTTCTCGTTTCTTGGAAGAGTTCTCTTCGCTTCTCTCTTCATCCTTTCCGCTTGGCAAATGTGAATTTTTGTTTTTTTTGTCGTTTAACCATCTATCCTCTTTCTCGATCTGTTCTCGCGTTTCTTCGTGTTCCCTTGACTTGGATTGGGATTGTTTGCCGAAATAATTTTGATTGCTTCGTGCTAGATCTAATCTGGAATTGAGATGGGATTCGTAGACTCTTTCGATTTGGTCTAAACGCTTATCTAGGGTTTTGATAAATCGAATGCTTAGCTGAATTCGATTTTTCAGTACTTATGTTTCGATCTAGATCTGTTACTGTAACTAATTTGTATTTGGAGCTTGAATATTCAATCAATGTCTCTGGACACTTTTGGTGATTTCTGGATACGTTTGTCTTTGATATCGTTACTCAAAACCAGTCAAAAGTTTAGAGTATTTTATAATCAATGTATGATATTGTTTGGTCATGGTTGATCTGCCTTTAGCTTCAGAGAATTGGTCTCTCCTTAATTCTACATTTTGAAATGACACAATTAGCTTCCTTTATAGATGTCTCCACAAATCCAGTTTAGAGCATTTTTGTTTGTGACTAAGCTCTGTTGTTCATATGATTATGGAGTTCAGAGGACCTTTCCTAATCCTCAAAATATGTGTGTTGGTTTTGTTATTCCTATGTGTAGTGGTCTCTATAGAAGCACTAACTTTTGTTCAACCTACATTTAAATAAGATTGTTTTCGTACTGTAGCTTTCTTTTGTTGACTTGATAGCCATAAGTTAAGAAGCTACTCAATTGGTTTACTTAGTCCATTATATAGTGGTCTATAGAAAAGCACCATTAGCTCTAAAATTGAAGACAAAATCATAACTTTTTGTTCACCCTACTTTATTGGCCATAAGCTAAGCAGCTACTCATATAGTATCATCTCCCCGTTTTGACTATATAATCTTTGGCGACTTTTGATAGGTTCAATGACTTTGGAGTTGATGGTGGTCCTGCAGCTAAAGAATTAGCTCCAAAGCTTGATCTTGTCAAGGCACATCTATCTTCTAGATTAGGGGTAGCTTTGCCCAGCGTAGAGGTAAACACACACTTGGTTATAATATACTTCTCTCTTGTGCTCTCTCTCTCTTTATTTGTCTTGTTATGAACATGGAGAATGAATTTTTATAGGTGAGACAAGTCGTTGTTACTATAATTGCCTTGAAAGGAGTCGGAGGAATACTCTTTGTTATCGGAAACGTCGTTGGCGCTTATCTTCTGGTTAGGGTTTCTTCTTTTTTCATCCCAATTGTTTACAAACAAGTGATTCAAGGAGTTACCTCATTGTATATACTATGTGTTTCAGGCTTTCTACTTGGTGGTTGTTAGTCCTATTCTTTACGATTTCTACAACTACGGACCTCAGGAACGTCACTTCTCTCCATTGTTGACAGAGTTCTTGCAGGTTTGTCTATAAACTTTTTTGTCAAATATCAAGAAACTGGAGACTGTGAATTTGCATTAGGTTGCACAATGGACAATGATTCGTTATAAAAAAACTCTCATTGCTTTTGGTTATTGCAGAGTGTTGCACTCTTTGGAGCATTGCTCTTCTTTATTGGAATGAAGAACTCAACACCCTCCAAGAGGAGTGACAAGAGTCTGAAGAAGAGAGCTCCTAAGCCGAAAGCTGCTTAGTATCTTCTGGGTTGCCACGAGCAGTACCTTATGAGTTTTATATTTTTCCGAGAGAAAATTGTTTCTTAAAACTTTGGTTTTTCTTTTCTGTCGTTGTAAGATTCTTAGATTATTTCATGATATACGTTGTCTTTTTTGCTTTGATTTGATCTTTGGGGATATTGGAGTTTTGATTTGTTGAAAACTTTGAACCATGCAACTATGTAAGAACGATTTTCAAAATTTCTAAGTTCAAATAACGTTTAGAAAACAGTTTATAAAAATAATGGCTGCCTTTAAACTACGCAGAAAAATGATGATGATACAAAACTGACTATTTGGGTTTTAAATTTCACACAAACCGTGATTTTCTAGAACTGTTCCAAACCGAATTTTGATTGGTTTTCTATGCGGATCCTAAATTTTCTTATCCAAATTATTTGAAAACCGAAAAAACCGAATTGAACCGAACCGAGTGCATGGCCAATCTTATGGACAAAACTTTCTGGCAATTTTTCCGGTGAAATCTTCGGTTGCGCACTTTCTTCTTCCTAAACCCCCAAAATCTCAAATCTAACTTTTAAGCTTTTGTCATCTGATTGAGCTTTTCAAATTCCCCCCGTGTAATTCGAAACCCTAAGTTCTACTATCGCAGCGACGAATCCGTCTCTTCATTCTCCGTAAAATGGTACTTTTGATTCTCTCTTTTACCGTCTTCACGGAAAACCCAAAATTCAATTCACTGATGCAAACGCTTTGTTGTTTAATCAATCGCAGGATTACTTGAAATCTGTTGTCCCTTCTCAGCTTGTATCTGAACGAGGATCAAACCTCGTTATCATCAACCCAGGTGCTTATTCTCTCTTAGGTTTACGAAAATTTGCACATATATGTCTGTCTCCAGCATCTCCAATTCAAAGAAATCTCATTGGTGCTGGTTTTGATTAGGGTCTGCAAATGTAAGAATAGGACTAGCTAAGCAAGAGACACCCTTCAATGTCCCTCATTGCATTGCCAGGCACAACACACAAACCGGGAAACTAAACGTTCTTGATCAGGTTTCCTAGTTTTTGTCAAAAGGGTTTTTTTGATTTCACTTGTGATCTTTTGTATCCTTTCAATGAATTTGATTTTGTGTTCTTTACATGTCTCAGATGATTAACACTCAGGTCAACACCAGTCAACACGTTGAACGTGATAGAGCTTACAATACTGTAAGAACACTATGTGGTTTTTCAGTTTGCTGCTTCTGTCACTAGAAATTCACGTCCTGTTGTTTGATTTTTCGTTTTTTTTTCCTCACTGAAAGACGGCGTCGCTGTTGAAGATACCATACCTAGACGAAAGTTCTTCTTTTGGCTCTGCATCACGCAAGGTTAAGCTTCATACTATTGCTGATGATAAGATTTTGCTTCAATGTTATTGTTACAGATAGTATGATATTATTCACCTTGACTTATAAAATTTAGTTAGGTGTGAGAACTGATTGTTCTTGCTATTTTGGTTATCAAATATGCAGATGGGGAGGATTGATGGATATAACCAACCGAGTACTACGACTACGAAGAAAGATACAGTCTTTACTTGGACTAATGTGTATGAGGATGATCATAGTTCTCCTTCCACATTAGGTCTCATTCCAATCTTTTATTCTTTTCTTATTCATGATTAATTTAGTTTCTCTGATGCTGGATTCTTGTACCCCTTAACGGAAGTAGTACATAGTAGTGGATTCTTCTTTATCAATCAAACATGTTTATACGATTTAGAGATTTGTATCTGCTTGCTATACAGTAAAGTAAAATGCACATGATAGTATTTTTTCTCTGAATATACATATGTTGGGTGTCAATGTTAATATATCTTATATACTCAAACTGCGCAGAAACTTCTTCCCATAATGTTACTGACTCCAAGGAACCTGGTGAGAATAAGCGCAAGTATAGGAAGATGATTTTTGGTGACGAAGCTCTGACAATATCTCCAAAAGAGCCATATAGCATACACCGTCCTATTCGGAGAGGTCACTTCAATGTTTCGCCAAGTTATTCAGCGCAACAGGTATATACATAGCTCCAATATTCTATTTCCTGTACTCTTTCTTGAAGCAATTTCCTGGTTTTTGTTATTTCTTCTACCTTTCCAGGTTTCTGAGGACATAATCGCTATATGGGACTGGGTTTTACTAGAAAAACTTCAAATAGTTCACAGTGAGAGGAACAAGTACTCTGCTGTTCTTGTTGTCCCGGGAACATTTGACAGCCGCGGTAAATTTCATTGCAGACTTAATTTTCAGTTCCATCTTAGATATGTTTTGAATCGATGTGAATTAGTATATCTAGTTTGGCTTCATGATATTTTCAGAGATAAAGGAAATGCTAACTATTGTGTTGCGAGACCTACGCTTTAGCTCAGCAGTGGTCCACCAAGAAGGCTTATCGGCCATTTTTGGGAATGGTTTGTCAACAGCTTGTATTGTTAACATGGGAGCACAGACAAGTACAGTCGTTTGCATCGAGGTATTAGCAGAATACGAGAAAGTTTTAGCCGACGTATTCCTGCTGTTATAACTGTTCTTATGCTTGTTTGGTTTGTTTTTGTAGGACGGAGTCTCATTGCCAAATACTGAAAAGATTTTACCTTTTGGAGGAGATGTAAGTATATAGTTACTCTTTTCTATTGCTAGATGGGCTACATTGCATAGTAAAGTATCTTCATCTACATATCATTTTCAGGATATATGTAGATGCCTTCTATGGATTCAGAGACATTACCAAAGTTGGCCACAAATCCGCACAGACGTTTTGGCAAAGCCAATCGATATGCTGATGCTTAATCAGTTTAAGGAGTCGTATTGTGAAATTAAAGTTAGTTGGATTATCTTCACTGTTGTTTTGTTCTCTTGGTAAGGAATATTGAAACTGATAATACTTTTTTTCCATACACAGGAAGGAGAGCTTGAAAGAGCTGCAACGGTTTATTCTTACGAGGACGGTTTACCACCTGTGCCTCACAAGACAAATCTCACTTCACTTAACGTAAACATAAAGACAAGATCAAGTCCTTGTTCTGTTAAAATGCTCTCTTATGTTTATTCGTCTTGAAAAATATATATTTTCTTTGGATGATTTCAGGTTCCACCGATGGGTTTGTTTTATCCTAACCTACTTGTTCCTGAAGTGTTTCCTCAGCCACCACGTACATGGTCAGAGTCAAACCTTCCTAAATCCTTATTCCGGTTTAGTTTTGGACCGGTCTTTAACGTTTACGTATATTGGTTAGGTTCCAAGACCATGAGAATATGTTGGAGGAAACATGGAACATGGACTTTGCAGGTGGTGGTGGTAATGTGGGGTTACCAGTGTGGGAAAGTTTTCAAGTTTCCCCTTTGAAACCAAATAAAGAAGAGAAGATTGGTCTCGCTGAAGCCATTACAAGCAGCATTCTCTCTGCTGGTAAATGTTATATAATGCATTCTCTCTGCTTACTACCAGAAGGCTACAACATCTAACACAAACCTTGTTAACTTATGTTTCCTGGTTCGTAGGACGCATAGACCTTCAAAGAAAGCTTTTCTCCAGCATACAATTGGTAAATTCTTGAAACCATTTTCCTTTAAAACACTCAAAAGTTTCGCCATTTGAAGCCCTTGTTTTGGTTCTTCAGATCGGTGGTGTTGGTTTGACTAGAGGTCTTGTCTCAGTCGTAGAAGAAAGGTTTGTTCATTTTTGTATTCTAAGATCCAAACAGATTGTTTTTTCTGAGAGTAACGTTTGTGTCGTCCTTCTCTCCTTAACGATCTAGAGTTCTTCACGCGATACCACCAACAGAAGCCATTGACACAGTGGAGGTTCTTCAATCAAGAATGGACCCAACATTCGTATCTTGGAAAGGAGGAGCGGTACGTTCGTTTTTCTCGCATTTTTTTAACCATTCTTCATTTTTGATTATGGTTTATACTGAAATGGTGTTTCGTTGGAGAACAAAAAACAGATATTGGGAATATTGGATTTTGGAAGGGAAGCATGGTTACACAGAAACGAGTGGATGGAGAATGGGATTCGCGTAGGGAGTGGGAAGAAGTACAGAGACTCTTATTACATTCAAGCACAAGCAATGTGTTTCATCAACTCCTAGTGTACTTGTGTATGTTGTTTAGACGAGAGAGGGGAGATAAAAGCAACAAATTTCTAATTTTTTAAAAGTGAGTTTTTTTATTTTATTTGTATTTTTCGTTAAGTTGTTGTTTTCGTCCCACATCGGGAAGAAGAGAGTGGAGGAGGTAAAGATGGGGTTGTATATAAAGGAGATGGGCCTTGTGGTTGTAAATTAAAAAGGGTCGGATGGCTATTTATGCCACGCTCAGCCTGAGATTGAAAGGGTGAGTGCTGTATGGCACAATCAAGACATATGGCCGACATTATTTCTGGAAAACCCTATAGGGTTGGCTCGCTTGGCCGACCCTCCAATTCATTAATCTTTAAAACATTTAGTGTGTACTGGAATAATGATTTGGGATGATTTTGTTTTTTTTTCATTAATAAATTATTTTTAAAAATGATTTGGAATGATTTGGAATGATTTGAAAAGTAATTTAGAGTTAAAAATTTATATATTGAAATACCATCATCATATATGATGGTATTTGAAAGAATTTATTTTAAAATTTTAAATTCGTTAAAATTTTCATTTGGATTTATCCAAATTACTAATCTAATATGCTTTCTTTAATTATTTTTGTTTCTTTTTAGCGCCAGTTGATTACATTTATTGTTAAGATAAAAAAAATTATTTTTCATCGGCAAAAATTTATATATTTTAATAGATATTGTAATTTAACTACAAAAAAGGTTAAAATTTTTTTTTAGTGAATTATCGAATATATATACAATCATGATTTTATTAGTTTTATGACATGCAAATCACTGAAAATAGTTTTAACAAAAAATCATATTTACCTTTTTAATTTAAGATCATTATATGGGAAAGATTTAGTCGAGGTTAAAATGCAAATATCAAATTTGGTATATAAATTAATGCTTTTGTTATTTTTTTGGTATAAAATTAGCATTTTACAAATGAGTGATTGATGATGATATATCGATTACTTTTATCTAACACGTTATAACTTGATTAACAAGTTATATAAAACTATCAAATTTTTCTATTGTAAAGTTTGACTAGATGTTGGACTTGCGCGTCCGCGTAGGTATATGATTCTTGAAGTAAATTTTATAAATGTTTAAATTATGTAGTATAAGAAGATTTATTATATATTATGTTATAAGATAGTCTGTTTTCTGGTACATATGTATCATGGCTTTATTTCGAGAGAATGGATAGTCCGTTTTTCATATGTGTATAGAAAAGGCAATTGTCTTTTTTTTTGCTAACAGAAAAGCTAATTGTCTTGCTGATGGATTAGCTAACTCTGTTTTTTTCTTCCTCTAGCTGTCCAGTTTTTAGATTCAGTTCCACCTAGTTTAGTTTGCTTTTCAGTTACGATATGATCGGTTCTGTGCATCCAAAAAGAGTTTGTGTGTAGCTGGTTTTTATGTTTTGAATAAAATCAGGAGACAATGTCTCCCACACCCCCTCCTACAAAAAAAAACTATAGTTATATTAATAATAAATTATTTATTTATGTGTTATGAAGATTAAAATTAAATTTTGTAAATACAAAAATATAAAATTAAAAATAAGATAATATAAATTACGTGCAACTAATTCAATATTGTAGACACACGAGTTTTTATTGTAAATTATGATAATATGTTATTGGTTTTATATAAAATTTATGTTTTTAATATTGTATTTAGTTTTTTTTTCTTCTCTTTCTCCCTTCCTATTCTTTTTTCTTCATTTCTATTATCTGTTTCTTTTTTTTCCTGTTTTTCTTCTCTTTTTTTTTTTTTTCCATTCTTCTTCTTTTTCTTTTTTTCTCCTCCTCCTCCTTCTCTGTTCTTCTTCTCCCTCTTTTTCTTCTATTGTTTCTTCTTCTTTTTTTCTTCTTCCCTCCTTCTTTTTCTTCCTCTTTATCACCATTCTTTTTCTTCATCATTTTTTTTCTGCATTTTTCTTCTTTCTCTACGTCTTTCTTATATTTCGTTCTTTTTCTCCTTCATTTTTTTTTCTGTTCTTCTTCGTCTTCTTCTCTATCCTTCCTCTTCTTCATGTATGTTTTTCTTTTTTTTTTCGTTTTTTTCTCTTTCATCTTTTTTTTTTCTTTCTATGCTCTTCTCCTCTTCTCCGTTCTTTTTCTTCTTCATCTTCTATGTTCTTTCCCTTTTTGTATGTTTTTCTCTTCTTCTTGTTTTTCTTTTTCTTTCTATTTTTAAACAAATAATTTATTCATATTATCTAATTTGCTCATGTTTTACTTTATTGTTGTTTTCCAAACCCAACTTCTATATTTAAAGATATAATATATTACTGATTTTATATATAACTTGTGTTCTTATGTTGTAGTCGATTTTTTACAGGTTTGAATATTTAGTTGTAATTTTATTAACCACACTATTATTTTTATTTAGAAATATTTATCTTATTTGATAAAAACATATTTAATTTTTAATAAGAATATAATTTATCTACTAATTTATGCTTTTTCTCAATAAATCTTTTATTTAGCTTTTGATCAAGTGTTTTTTTTAGGTTTTTCAGCCGTCCTTTTTACAAAAGATCATGTCTCCTATGTATACATATCTCTCTACAACCTAAGCGGGAATCTCGGTGAATATAGTCATAGATTTCCTTATATTTCTCTTTACAGGGCCACTTCCGCAAGGCTAAATCTTTCTAGGGATAATCTCGCTTTTAGATGTCTTCTTGGGCTTATGACTCAACTCGTATGTTTATTGCTTCATATTGGGCCTCGTTCATCATCTCCTAGGCCCATCAGAGAAATGGCTCGATTCCCATTTAGTTGTTAATTTTGTTGGTTCGATTCTACCAGCCGATTTGTCCCGTCACCCTGGTTCGACACATCTCTCTGGTTTGATAACTAAATGGTTCGGTACATATTTGCTGACCTCGACTCATCGGTTTGGTATATCATGTTGGTTTGGTCCACCTATCTGGTTCAATGGACATGAATGGTTTAATTCGTCTTTATCGATCCAACTCGTTGTTTCTGCTCGGCGGTTCGCCAGTTCGGCTCGGTGGTTTGCCAATTCAGCTTGTCAGTCTGGCTTATTACCTCTTCGATTTGGCTAGGTTCATTTCCAAACTTAGCCTTTTCTTTGTTGATCTCGTCATAGTGGAGACCGACCCCAACAATTCTTTCTTCTCTTTCTGTTTCTCCTGCTTCTTCTTCATCTTTTCTTCTTCTCTCCCTTCATTTATTTTTGTTCTTCTCCTTCTCCTTTTTATCCTTTGTTTTTCTTTTTCTCTGTTTTTCTCCTTCTTCTTTTTTTTGGATTACCATGAAGTTCTGGGCCAAAGCCTGCAATCTCTGCAGGCCCGAAAACACATCATGTAATATTAGTTTAATCCTAAGCGTCACTCGATCATGTGATCTCTAAGCTTTGTCTAGACCCTTTACCAGTCGAGTTAACGACTCTTGGTTACTCCTTCGTCTTCTCCTCCATTCCTTCTTCTTCTTCTTTTTCATCCTTTCTTCTCCTTCTCCTTCGTTGTTCTTCCTCTCCCTTCTTCTTCTTCTTATATGTATCCATATTCTTCTTCATCCCTTCATCCCTTCTTCTCCTTATTATCCTTCGTCTTCTTCTTCTCTTCCTCCTTCATGTCTTCTTCTTCATCATCCATTCTCTTTCTTCTCCGTTCTTCTTTTCCATTTTTTTCATCTTCTCTATTGGTCTTATTTGTCATCACTTCTCCTTCTTCTCATTTGTTTTTCTTCTTTTTCATCCCTTCTTATTATCCTTTCTTTTCCTTCTTCTTCTTTATCACTTATTCTCCTTCTTCTCATATTCTTCTCTTTTTTTTTCCTCTTTCTTCTTCTCATCCATCCCTTCTCTTTATTCTCCTCCTTTTTCTTCTCCTTCTTATTTGTTCTTTTTCTTCTTTGTCAAACAAAAAAAATAATAGATTTAAAACTAAAAATATTTAAAATAACAACCATATACATAGTAAACAAACGGAAACAAAATATTTAACATATAAGAAATTAATTTTGACTAAAAAATATTGATGTTTGCAAATATATTTTTTTAAAAATCTAGAAAAAACAATTAGCCAAAACAAATTAGAGAAAATGAGATAATGTGAGTTACTGTTTTTATTTCCCTTATAGTTTATTGAAATACTATTATCATAAATAGTTTTATTTTGTTAATTGTAAATTATGAAAATCTTTTATTAATTTACTGACTTTTCCTATTATTAATATTTTATTACATCTACAATAAAAATTTATCAATATTGTTTGTAATATTTATGAAAATATGCTAAAATCCATATTTTTTAGACTATGCTTTAAATTTATGTAGTTACTGTTTCTTAATTAAAAAACATTTTGATTTTTATTTGGGAAGCTTGCTCCATAATTTTAGTAATCGAATATTAATAAAATATTACAAAATCGATTCATTAGATATTTTATAGAACTAAATATAATTTAAATAAAATTATATGGTTATTATCATTTACTGTTAATTAATCATGGTTTTTTTTTAAAATTTGATCATGATGCTTTTCAATTTGAAATTAATTTTAATTAAAATTTAATTTAATATTAGATTGCACTAAACATATAACAAATAATATATAATAATTCATAAAAATTGTGTTTTAATTTATTTTTCTATAAACATGTGTTTGGTTATATTATTGCATAATAATAAGAATATGATTTTTGTTTTTGTAATAATTTTTTTTTCAATTTTTTTATATTGTGTAAATGTATATAATTTAATTATATATATTTATATTAATTATCATTGTTATTTTCTTATATTGTTACATAATAATAAGTATTTGAAAAGTACCACTTGTTATTTTTTTGCAAAATGTTTTGAATTGTATAAATATTTATAATTTAATCTCATATATATAGTAATTGTAATTGTCATTTTGTTTTATATAAACTTGGTTGTAATTAATTCTATGATTAGTTAGAATTTTTGAAATAACTATTTATGGAAAATTTGAAATTATTTAAATATGTTTGGTAATTA